GAAATATATCTCAATAAAGCTGTAGAAGAAAAAATAACACCTAATGTATGAATGCCCTTTATATAAAGACAAACCTGATCTACAGTGTTTAGATATGAATAAAAGATAACAACAACAATAAAACCAGAAAATTATATCTTTAACAGTTAAGATAGTAGTTAACCTCAAGGTTCTGACTAGAAGGAGGAACAGAGTGTTTACTTCTTGACCTGGGTAATGATTGTTCCGTGAGGATTCAGTTTAAAATAATTCATTAAGCTATACATTTATGTTTCATGCACTTCTCTTTATTATGTTATATTTCACAATTCTACAAGGTTTATGAAGTAAAATAAAACTATAAAAAGTAGTAGAAAAACACCATCCAGAAATCATAAGGGAACAGAGTAATGGATGTAACTATGTAAAAATTTTAAACAGGAAAGTGGTAACTCTCACCCTGGCTGGAGCACAGAGAAATGGGTACTGTCACATGATATGGGTAATAATGCCAGCTCAGCAACATGCATCAAAAACCTCAAATATGTGCATACTTTTTAGCAAAGACATTCACCCACATCATAAGGAAATAAAAATATGAATAAAGACTAAACTACAAGGTGTTTATAATAATAACACTGTATTACTTCTAATAAAATTTAAATACAAGTATAATAAAATTATTACTAACTATAGTTCATTCATATCCATGAGTAAATATATACAATATATACTGACATGTAAAGATTTCAGAATGTACTAAAAGACACATTATAAATAGTATTTTCAATATGATTTTTATCTTTCAGAAACATACGAAACAGATAATGTGTAACTTACATACCAAAATGTAACTTGTGATTTTATTCATGGTAGTTGAAGTAAGATTATGACTGCTTTTGATTTTCTTCTGTTTTTTTAATATGTATTTTCTAATTTTTCCATAAGAAAGGAGAAAGTTATTTTTATAACAAATAGTTGATAATATATACCCTTTAATCTGATGTGATGAAAATGGAACCTCATATCTGTTATCTTCCTCCTCAAAACCCATGAGAAAAATATGATATGAGGAAAACATCAAATTCCAAGAGGGGCTTCCTTTAAAATACTTGACTATTTCTCAAACTGTCAAGGTTATCGAAAACAAGGAAAGTCAAGATAACCTAAGGAAACAAGACTCTTAAATGTAATGTGGTGTCCTGGATACAATCTGGGAACAGAAAAAAGACATCAAGTGGAAACTAAGGACATCTACATAAACTATGGGCATCAGTTAATAATAATGTATCCATATTAGTTCAAAGGTTAAGATGATGTAAGATGTTAATAAGGGAAACTATATAGGAAATTTTATACTGTATTAATTTTTCTGTAAATCTATATTTTTCTGTAAATTGTTCTAAAAAAACTAAAAACCTATTTGAAAAAAATAAATAGCACCTGAGTCAAAAAAATTTTACTGTTTTTCAACTTCAGATGATTTTGAGTGGAATGTTAGAATATATATATAATTATGTATATACATACACACACATATATACAGAGGATGAACAAAATATTAAGTTTTTTAACATTATAAAGAGCTCCTTGCAATATACTATGTATTTATCAATATACACAACTTTCATGTTATATAATGTAAATATCATATGCACAGATCTCATCTATTTAAACCACCACTTCTACTTCTACAGAAAAGAAATAGAAGATATAAATATAAGAAATAGAAATATAATTGTATAAGAAATAGCAAATATATTACATCTTCCTGTGCTGTAAGATGTGGTGAACTAATTTTTAGCAGAACACTTACTTTGTTCAGTTAACAAATACGCATCCCTAATTTCTTTTCTTACTGAATGCTTACCACTGAAATAGCACATCATGTACTCCTAGAGAGAGCCAAGTCAGAGAGCAGAGAAAGCGCTTGCTAAAATAATTTTCTCTTCTTTCCCAAAAGGGAAAAAGTCAGCAGTGGTGACCAGTCCTGCATAAGACTCACTCCTGAGCCCTGTGGAAGTCAGTTCCCCTAAGTCCAAATAAACTGTAGTCCCTTACGAAGCCTGCTGAGAAGACCGAAGGGAAAAAGCATTCCACTTGTTAAATGTTTATTGTTTGGGCTTCACAGCCAACTATAATAAGGGAGAAGGGAAGCTGTCTGCAAGCTGCATGCAGATTTAGCTACTCAAATGCCATGAATGTGAAATAGAACACTGAGGCTAAACCTTTAAAATTTACTAGGCGGGTAGCTTGAAGGGAAGTGGGAATTGGGAATTGGAGCTGCTAGTATTTGGGTCAGTGACTTGAAAGCTGCTCAAGTCAACAAAGAACTTACAAAGAACTTAAATTCTCAAATGCTGGGAAATCTGCTTCTTTGTCTTGTTCAAAGAATCACAATCCAGCAGAGGAAAGGTACAAATCTCTCTCTCCTCTATCTCTTCTCACTTTGATCTATGAATAAATATTTTTACTTTTTCCTCAAAGCCAATTTCTTATCTACTAAACTGGTGATGAGCCGAATGACTATTAGCTAAATCTTTCTTCATTTATCCAGCCTTCAGGCAGGTCTAGCTGAACTTCAGTGACCAACCACTGTGTGCCTAGTTATTCTTTTCTTTTCCAGTTGAGCGTGGCCGGCACTCCTTTTACTACAATTGTGATGGGATTGCTCAGATTTGTTATCTATAGGAATGTGCTTTAAATTAGTGTCCAATTTTATGATGTTTACTAATAGGGCAAAAGTAGAATACATTTTAGTAGATGTAGACATCATGAAGTCTACTTGAAAAGATAAACACATATATACACATATATATTAACATTTATATGTCTATTATATATAGATAATAGACATATACTGTATATAAGTATATTATTTACCCAATTCCCAGGATAATTGTGGCACAAAATAAAATAAAATAATGACAAGATGGCGACAAATCTTTTTTGGCATGAACTAAATCTTTAATCCTCTAAAATAAAAGACATAAAGAAGAATGAAGTCTAAGGGGAACAGGATGACTGTCATGTAAATGCAAACCAACAGATTTACATGACAGCAAAGTTTTGGGTTCAAGTACTGGTTCTAGTGTTAATGGTCTGTCTTATTGAGCAAAAGAATTCAGCTCTTTGAGCTCTGGTTTTCCCAAATCTAAAATGATAATATGGATTCAACATTCCCCCCAAGTTGAGATGAGGATCAAGCACTGTGTATAAAGTATATGTTGAACTAAAAGTGGATTAATACAAAAAATACATTAGTGATATATTTTAAGCAATCATTTATTAAATACTAATAGCTATCAGTGATGAAGTGCCTAGTATGTACAAGAACATATTACATGAGGCCCTTTATGTTCATTATTTTAATTCTCACTTTAACCCACAAGGGATAAGCTATAATCTACTTAACAGAAAAAGCCCGATAAGAAAACATTCAGAAATGAAAAACTTGCACAAGATCATAACACTAATGATAAATGGCAAAACTATGATTCAAAAGAAAATATGGATCTAAAGAACTTGTTCTTTACACTAGTCCCTTACAATTAAGCTGGCATTAACAGGATTATTAATTAAATGAGGCATTCACAGAAGTAAATTTTCCAGATGACTCCATTTTAACTTTGAAATTTTATGTAAATCTGGGTAAAAAATATAATGCACACATCCTTTTTTGCTTTAATTAACCAGCCAAACTAAGGCTTTCTTCAACAGCTCAGGATCATGACTGTGGCCATCCTGTTTGGATCTCAGCTCCATCTACTTGTGTTCCTATAATGTTCCCTTGCTAAGACCGGGCTGCCTGGCTAAAGCACTGGTAGAACCTCTCCTAACAGTCTCCCCCAACCACTCTGTGGTCAGTCAGGAAATTAGGTAACTCATGGGGTACAAACAAATCTAAGTGAATGTGACCCTGGGATAAAAGCTTGAAAGTGTCCTCTATTAAATACATCCCATAATCTAGTTCTACTGTTTACTTCTTTGCTTCCTTCTGGAGTACAGCTGTGATCTGTCAAGATGATAGTCCAGATAAACGGAGTCTAGCTAAACTAAATTAACATCTTGTTTTACAGTATCACCCTGTCGCTTCACATTTCAGTTTCCTGAATCTTATCTTACTGCTCTGAAAATGAAATCACAGTAATAAACTACCTTTTAAAACCTATTGTAGAGCAAATCTTTTAGGAGATTTATATATTTGTATTTAATTGTGTGATACCTGAAACACAACAGGTAGCAAACGCTCTCACTAAACAATGATGATGGTAGAACAGTCTTTAACTATAAACTGGATGGCGGTAGTGTGAGCCAAATGCATTCAAGAAAAGCCTTCCTTAAACCTGAATGCAGTCTCTTCCAAATACCTCATCCTTCCTCCTTACCCCAGACCAATAGAAGGAATGGGTAAATGCTCCTTTGTCCATCAGGCACAACACAGCATAAAGCACTTAGTTGGTTACAAGTATGTCTCCCTCTCCCCAACTAGGCAAAATGTAAACTTCCTATGAAAAGGGACAGTTTCTTTCTCATCTCATACTCTACTCCCAGAGCCTTGTGTAGCACCACACAAATAACAAGTGCCTCACAAATGTTCATCCTCCCCTTTGTTCATCTTCTAAGTGTTTAATGATGCCTGAATGTGCTCCCTCTTCTACCACCACCAGCACCCCCTCAAGCAGCCCACGGAAGGTCCCCTGCCATGAGATTGCCAAACTATCTGCGTTAAGCAGTAGTATTTTAAAGGTAAGGTCACAGTAAGGTTCCTAGGGAAAAGTAGTGCTTATTTTCTCATACACCATTGATAAATAATGGGAACCTACTTTCAACACACTTGCCATTTCTGTGCACTTTGATTTCAGACATTTACATGTCATTAGAAAATACTTAAGCATACTGTCCACATTCAAGAACCCCTAGTCGGCTCATTTCATGCCTGTGCTACTTGTTTACATGCATGATCAGTATTATTAATGTAGGTTCTTCTACAATAAACTATTTTCTTCATACCTCTTTACTTTGGAGTTTTTCCTGTTGATTTTTTTAATACCCAAATCCACATATGATTCAGTGAGTTCTATATTTAATTCTCCTTCTGAGTCACTTGGAAGTATTCCCAATTTTGCAGCAGATTCATAGAGAGAAATTTCATCTTTTAGTTCTGTTAATTCTTCCTAAAACACAAAATTTACATTATTTTCATTATTTTCCTGTATGAAGGAATCATTCTATCTAAACTTCAAAATTCATTTTAATGGTCAAAAGAAGGTAGAAACGCTTCCTCAAATACATTTTAGCATACATTAAAAGTAACTTTATAAAGGCCAGCACATATCAGGTTTTCAAGTAAACTGAATGAACAAATAAACGAATGAGAAAGCAAATGTACGAAGTTTCCGTCACACCTCCCTAGCTTACATTTTTGTCCTCCAGGAAAAGTGTCCCTTGAGCTGGGGAGCTGATGGCAGCACGTTTTGGCTTTCTGGAGTAGAATGGTTTGCCAAGAACTTGTACTTTAGTTTGCCAGTGGTAAAACAGCGAAAGGCCTCTTCCCAGGGGAGGTCATTCAGGAACTCTTCCTCCAGTGGGAAACGTTAAGTAGCACAGGAGGAGGAGGATGTGAGAGAACTGCAGCAGACTGTAGGTTTCCCACACCTGTAGACGTCCCCACCTCTGGGGGCACCCATAGACGAGAGGAGGAGGCAGGCAGGCTGGCGGCGGGGGGCACAGCCCTGGCTCTAGAGTCAGACAGACCTGGGCTCAACAACCCAAGTGTGTGGGGAGACTGATCACCTCTCATGGACTGGTTTGGAAATGGCCCAACCACCACCTCTTCCAGAGAGAAATCTGTGATTCAGAAAGGTGACAGAAGCCCTTCCCAACTCAGTCACCCATAAAGTCTCTTCCAAGTGGCAGGACTCACTTGCAAAGCCTGCTTCATGCTTTCACTCATCGCGTGCGCCTTCTGTGCCTGCTGCAGCTGGAGCCGTAGCTGAGCCACCTCCTGTACTGAGCCTGGGGGGGAGGAGGGGAACATCAAAGAATACTGCAAATGTAAAGGGACAAAGTACTTAGGAGGTACAGAAAACCTGAATCTGCTGAAGTTACAGAAGGTGGAGTTCTGCTTTATTACCTTTTTTCATTATCTTTTTGGAACACAAAGGTATATAGCCAGTGGGACCCACAGGCATAGGTCCTGTCCAGACATTGCCAAGATTTAGTATGGCTCCCCCATGCCCTTGGGAAGTTGAAAACGTGGGCTACTGTGGCCTGCTACGAATAAGATCAGCCACATTAACAGACCTTAACACCCCACAGGTCCTTTAATAAGAGCATAACATTCTACCTCACAGCAAGCCAAAGCAAAAATTCTTTGGAATCCATTTCTACCCTCTAATAAGAACACAGCATGCTGCCTTTAGCTTCTTTCTAAATGCTTTTATTTCTACCACCCCCCCACACACATGTGAAAAAAACATACTGGGATTATGCTTCTAAAACTTTAGGAACCTAATCTTTTAAATGTACTAGGGAAGGTTCCCATTTAAAAGGGACTTTATTGGGTTTATCCACAAGAAAATGAGCATCTGGGAAATGGTTAAGCAAAGTAATGATGGCATATTATGCAACTAAACAAAATAGTATTTTCAAAGCCTTTAATGGCAAGGAAAAAGGCTGAGTAAATAATGCCATGTGAAACAAAAGGACAGAAAATCAGCAGGAAGGGGGAACCTTAACAGAGTATGATGCAAATTTTGCACACCCCACCCTGCAAAGCGCACACACACACATATTTAGATAGTCTTTGCCTTTAGTACTTTCAACTTTTGAATAGCCTTCTCTTATACATATCATACCAACAGTCTGAATTGACTTTATATGCCAAAGTGTGACTCTCATATATCAATAAAGAACCACTGACTGATTTTCAGAGTGAGATACACACCAACAAATAGGGCAGTTGTGTGCACTTGGTAGTATTTGTATAAACATTTTATTATTTTATTGCCTTTTACTCTAATATGTAATATAAAAATTAGTAAGAAATAAAAGTACTGCTGAAACTAATGATAGAAAGCATATGTCTCCAACTTAATACTATGAAGGACATTCTAGAAATCTTAAGCATGACAAAATGTTAACTCACTGGCTTCAACTGACCCGGCAAGTGGCTATTCCACTGTGAAAGGAAAAAAACATTGAAGAAGCTATACAAAACAATAGAAATTTGTGATCAAAGATAGAGTATTAAAAGCAAAATATAATGGGATTACATAATCATTTTTAGCCTTCATGAATAAAATCTACCTTGTAATATATATTTTAGTGTTCAATTTTTGAACATTCAGCTTTGGTATGTTTTCAGAAATGCACTACGTACAGAAGCAGAGAATTGTCTAGGTGTGTGCATCCATTTCACTTGAAGGAAATACATTCAACTGTTAGCAATTTGTGTAACAGGATTAGTGGTTATTTTTATTTTCTACTTTATACTTGTCTGTTTCCCAAATTATCTAATGCAAATGCACAACACCTTTATACATGTATACTAAAAAAAAGTTAAAAAAATTTGTCACTGATGATCTTTTCTGCCTTTCCTGGATTTTGATGATTCATGGATCCTACTGTTATCTCTGCAATTATACTAGCCTTTTGGGGAGACAATATTCCACCATACACCCACCTGAGTGCAACAGGTTGGCACACTGATTTTGACTCTCCTCTAGACTTCTTGTCAATCTGTTAATGATCTCAGTCTTTTCTAATTTGGTTGCTTCTTGATTCCTTTCCAGTTGTTTAACCTGATCTCTCAAATGACAGCAAATGTCTTCCTAAATAGAAAAAGTGTTCAAGAAGTCATTTTCACACTCATTTATTAAGTATTAAACTAACAATTACAATACATAAGTCAAATATAAAATCATCACATGGTAGCCTCACCTCTTGTATAAGGTTAAGTACACAGGGCTGAGAGTCAGGAGAATAAATCCACATGATCTTGGGCAAGCCATTAACCTCTGAATTTTTTCTTTTCTAACTCTCCTAATAAATGTTGAATTCAATGATTTCTAAAGTCTCCTCCTGCTCTACAATCATAAGACACTGTTATTCTAAAATTAGTCTTCATTTAAATCAAAAGAAATATATTCCTATTTGCATTTTATACTGTCAGTATAAGTGCATGTATACATATTTAGGCAGAACACCTTGAACCATGTTATTTGTATCCCAAGACAGCAAGGATACAGATACATGTGGAAAGTCACTTCATTCTGAACAGGCAAAAGCTCATCCTATTTTGAGTAGCCAAAAATAATCTCTCCCTCTTCTGAACTTCTTTTATACTTGATCTGCTTCTCATTTGTTTTCCTTTTTACCTTTTACACATCTTATTTCTCTTGAGTCTCCTGGAAGGTGCCCATGTAGTGCCTTATATGGAGTGCTACCAAAAAAAAAAAAACCTGGAGAAATGAATGACAGAGAAAATCCAGGATAAGTGTGTCTGTGCACGCATGCACGCGTGCATGTAGTTATATGGGGATACATAGGAAATACAGAGCACATATACAATACATTCAAATTTCTTCAAAAAAAAATTGTTTTGGAGAGTAATGAGCCATGGGAGTCCCAAGCCCAGATGGAAGAAAGCATAACCTGTCATTCAAAAAAGGCTACACAGGCTAAACTCTAGGCGAATTGCAGAGCACGAGAGGAAGAGGAGTAAATTAAGGTAATTGGTTGAAGTTGCCTAAAAAAGACCTGACAAAAATAAGTACTAAGAGGAATATCAGGAAAGGGCTTTGAAGCAGAGTGGACATCTGGGGCTCGATCCATAGAATAACCTAAAGGCCAATAATGCCTTAAGGATACTAACATAAGGTGCACCTCCCTAAAGATACTAACAATACCATTAACCAGATGAAAGGGATGGTGAAGTCTCCCCTATTTTAGCTTAAAAATTCATGTGAAATTTGTATTCTATTTCATAATGTAGTCATGCTTGTTGCAAGTTTTCTCTACCAAATTTTTAAGCAAAATGAAGTTTCTGGAAACTGGTCTATGTTTATTCAACACCACAAACCTCTTGGCACACCACTGCTGATCCCAACGCCAGCTCGAAAAGCATGGTTCTAAAGTGCCAAAGTAACATAACAGACACAATGAATAGGGTGATATTAATGATAGTGTGAATGTGTGTGCAAGAACGTAGGGAGACAACTAACATTTATGTACTGGGGAGATCACAACAGCTGTTAATAGGAGACTGAGAACAGACAAAAAAAAAAGTTCAAGAAAAGGTAAATATGAAAAACACTGACGAAAAAAAAAAAGGCAGACTGTGGCGATAATTTGACTCTACCAATTAAATCATGTTGTTTCCTGTTGACAAGTTCAGGGAATCACATTATACTCATAAAACTGCAGTTTAAGCACCCAGAAACAAACAAAACAAAATGAATGGGTCCATCTTTTCCATGATTAGCTTGAGTAAGAACATTCAATTCAAGACTCATAAAGGCATAATCTTTTAGGACTGAACAAGACAATGTGGTAATAAAGAGAGAATAGCTGAATCCATGGAAGCAGACAGAATTGAACAGATTTCTAGTGCACAGAAAAATTAGGATTAGGCCACACACACAGATGTCTATAGGAGTTTCTTAGCCAATACAAAGTGTTTAACATAGAGCCGTTAAATATAACATTAAAGGAAAGTTAGAAAACGACCCAAGTAAAGGTCATAATATAGAAATCAAATTGATGACTTCACCAAAAGCTGAAGATTTCAAGAAGAACAGAATGAAGAAAGGTTTTATACCATCAAGGAGATAATCAGAGACCTTCACTTGTTACTTCTACAAACAGGAGGAGATAGCAATTTGGAGAGATAACCAGAGATTTAACACGTCCATGAATGGGAGAGGTGAAGGACAGTCTGGGGGAGTGTCCAGGAGATGGCTGGCTTAGTTCTGTTACCGAAGGAACATGGAGCTACAGAGCAGCTCATTCCTTCTCATTGTTTTTGCCTCTCTAAAAACACAAGAGGAACTCAACCCAAATAAAAATAACTGTTGTATGTTGAGTATTCAATCCTTTCTACCCAGGAAAGCTGATTGCTTAAGGAAACACTAAATTCACAGTATAATATTAGAAGCCATGCATTTCTGAAAATACACTAGTTACAGAGACATTAAAAATAAAACAACCCACCAACTATATCATGGATTGCTACTCCTTCCATTACATAGTATTAGGTAGTCCCTGTGTTGAACTTTATCCTTCAAAATATAATTATACATTTAGTCTGTTTACATCCTGATGTTTAGCTGTGGAATAATCTGATTAGCTTACAATTGTAGTCCTTTCTCATCAATAACGAGTTTTTTATAAAGCAGTGATTTTCAACCCTTGCAAGGGGAGGCATGAAGTTGGAAAATCTAAGAAAAGCTCATGGGTCTTCTGTAAAAAAACTGCATATACTGACCCCCAAAGAAAATTACATCGCAATACCAGGGGATTCATCAACTGCCTGGAGCCTAGTCATGTACTGCCTTAGGAGATGCCAGATTAACAAACTCTGTAACCAGCAAAACTTACTATGTCTGAATAGCTACTCTGCTAACACTGTGTATACACTATACACTGTGTATACACTATGTACATAATATTAGGTTCAGTTGTGTACGACTACATTAGAGCCCCTCAGATCCTAGATTATTTATTAATCTTGGCTGTGTGTATGTAGTATACACATAAGTTTGGCAAACTTATTCATCTGGCAAAAATCATCCAGTTATTTGTACCTTGCTACTATTTTCCAAGAGTTGTTTCACTTTTCTTTATAATCTGCTGAATGGAGTATAGTGAGAAAAGGTTTATTAAAAGGGAAATAGTTTACATTTCTTCAGTAACTTTTATAAAGAAAAAGAGGGCAAGGAGCAAAATGCAGCATGTATGTATGGTTACCAGCTACTTTAAGAAAATCTCAATCCATCCCCTCTTTGTAGAACACATTCATTCATTTTTCCTATTACAGGCAGGCATCTCTTTAGCTCCTGGTTGATCTTTACAGAACCTCTCCAGTCAAGAATCTCACTGGGACTTAGATAATATGGACTGACCTTTTATTAAAAATGCTGCTGAGCCAGTTTATACCAAATGGACAAAAGGGATGGCATAAGAAACATTTCCCAGAAAGAAAAAACTGTGAGCACTTTGGAATCACCGCTTTGCAAAGCAGTTATGCAATGATATACAGACAGCAGTTAGCTCTGTTTAAAAAAAAAACATCAGCTCTGTGTTTTCTGTATAAAAATAAAAAAGCTGTTTAAAAAAAAATCCATTGCAAATCATAACAGGGAAAAAGACCTTAATCAACGCAGCATGGAAAAGCCTCCAGACTCTACTCCCCTCGTCACCAAGGAAGACCGTTCACCAGCTAACTTTAATGCTACTACATAAACACAGCCAAGATTAATAAAACTATATCTCAAATCCCATTTGTTTAAGTATTACAGAAAACAAACTTTTCAATGTGGCTAGCCTTTGTCTTTCCCCACCCCTACATATCCTCCACACCAAATTCACAAAATGTTTTCTTTATTAAAAAAAATTAAAACATATTGAGGAAAAAAACCTAATAAAACTTACACAAGTATATATTATATATATATACATATACATACATATATAAAATAAAACAGTGTACATCATTGCCAATAATGCAATCTGACACAGCTGTACCTAAGTCATGGAAACATTTAGCTGGTGTATAAATAACAACCTGAATCAGGACGAATTTAAGTGTGGTAGGATTTTCCATTCCCTCAACATCTTATTTGTCTTCTGTTCCCTTGGGTTAAATGAATTCTGAAATTTCATTAAGAAAAATGTGCTCTGAAATTTTTCTCACTCAAGTGATTACCTGGGGTTTTGGAGCACAAGCAAATCCCCCACATGGCTCACCCCCAGCTTCCAACATTTTATTCCCTTTGGGGCGAAAAAATAATAAAAACTGAAATACGCTCAAGTGTGAAATCTTGATGATTTTAGATCAGACTTCCTTCCCTATTTTCTTTATTACACTGTTCTCAAAATTAACTCTTCTCCCAAGAACCGCTTCCAGACAATCTTTATTGACAGGTTAATTACCAAATGCTGGGAGAACTCAGAAAGGCTTTCTACTGGTTAGGCTCCCAGGACAACCTCTCAAGTTCAGGCCAGCTCCCAGAACGCTCATTAGTGTTCTGGATCTATTCTAGGACAATGCGAACAATATGTATAAATACGCTACAGGTAAAGGACCAGTAATGTGAGAATTGAGAAAGTACTAAGCAATCCTACAAGAAGAAGGATTTCCAATACTATGCCTTCATGGTTACTCTGAGGTTAAAAATCTTCGGCTTTTAAATTTTACTTACAATAGAACACATACACATACATCCAAAATTTCTACAGATGAAACACAAAATAGCAGCTGAAAAAATAACCAGCTTTACTCGTTTATAACAGTTGCTCATTTGAAATCATCCCAACCTGTTCCTTAAGTGCAGTGACTGTAGCATCCAATTTCTTTTGTAAGGACAACACTTGCTCTTCATACTTCTTTGTGAGGCCCAGAACAATGCTCTCATGTTGCTCTCTGGCACGTTGAAATGATTCAGAATGATGAAGGTCCAGCAGCTGCTGCTTCAGACTTTCCAGAGCCATCTCAGTTGTTCTGGACTTCTTAATCATCTAGTAAAAACACACAGGGTGTCCATGTTTACTGTATTTCAACTCTGTTCTCTCTTTATGATATTTAATTTAAAAAATCAATCATGCTTTAAGGAGACTAGAGCAGAAAGGATCTCCCCCAGTTCCTTAACACTTCCCCAGCTGGTTCACACCAGGGCGATGGTTACTGGAAACATTAATCACAGAGAAGCAGTGTAGTTACCTGAGGAGAGGGAAAGAAGATTTTGCACAGCATGACGGCAGTGTGTGCACCAGGTAAGGAATCTGCTGCTACTACACTGGTCCCACTGCTGTTTGCATTGCTCTCCTCTGTGAGCCAAGCGGGAGGCAATCCAATTGTTAGGTCATAGAAAAATGATAACTGTTTCTTGAAAGACTGATGAAATCTGTCAATGCTTGCTTACTAAAAACAAAGTATTAAAAGCTGTAACTGTACAGTTGTTGAAAAAGTGGTATAGTACACTAAATAATGGCTCCCAAAAGATGTCCATGTCCTAATCCCTGAAACCTGTGAATATGTTATTTTACATGGCAAGGGAAAATTCAGGTTACAGACCAATTGAAGTTGCTAATAAGGTAACCGTAAAGAAAAAGAGATTATCCTGGATTATCTGGGTGGGCCTAAAGTATCCCCAAGTGTTTTTGAATGGGGGAAACTGAGCAGAAAAGTCAGAACCAATGACTTCTGGCTCTGAAGATGGAAATGGGCCTTACGCCAAGGAATGCAGGTGGCCTCTAAAAGTTGGAAAGGCAATAAAATTGATTCACCCCAGGAGCCTCCAAAAAGCAACACAGCCTTGCTGATGCCTTGATGTTAGCAAACCTATGTCGGACTTCTGACCTCCAAAACTTTCAGGCAATAAATCCGTGTTGTTACAAGCACTAAATTTCTGGTAATCTGTTACAGCAGCAATAGGAAACTAACACACTTGGTGGTTCTGTTGTTTTTATTTTATTATTTTATTTGTGCTACTTTATTTTTGTATAAATGTAATTTCTCACTTATAAAAAGATTACAAAGTTATAACCTTTACTACATAAAAGCAATGGAACTTTTTAATCTAGTAACTTTATCAGTTTTCAAAAAGTTAAAAATGTTCATAATCTACATTACACACAAAAGTTAAAATTTCAGATGAGGCTTATTCTTCATTCTGATCCAGAGATTGCCTGTTTATTCAATACTGCTTTAATTGTTTAAGACATTTATTCATTGGCTCAGTAAATAATGTGGATATTTTGTGCCAGGCAGGGTTCTAAGCACTTAAGCAGATAATGACAGTACAGGCAAGGTCCAAACTCTTAATACTTTCTGGCAGGAAAAGACAGACAATAACAAAGTAAACAAATGAGATCATTTCAGACAGTTTTCAAATAGAGTAACAGAATATGGCAGGATGAAGGGGAGTGGGAATACGGAGTTCTGGGCTACTTTAGATAAAAAGGAGATGGGAATTCCTCTCTAAAAAGGTGACTTTTTTTTTACCTGAGACCTGAAGGACAAGAAGCAGTCAGACATGAGACAACATTGTCCAAATTCTTCCATTAAACCATCCCCAGAAACAGCCTCAATTCTCATATAAAAGCAAGCTAGTTTATAACCACTTTCTCTTTTAACTACCCTCATCCCCTGCTCCAAAACGATGTATTACTCTCATGAATCATCTACCACCAGGCATGGCTACCAATAACTATTTCTAACAATCAAATGTCTATCTCATTAATCAAAAAACGTGCTACCACTTTACAGGCAAGTCTATTGGGATCAGGAAATTTAGGTTCTGATGCTTTGCCAATAACTGCTTTGAAACCTTAGGCAAGAAAATTTGATGTCTCCAGGATGTAGTTAACTCATTTATAATATGGTAAACATACAGTGTCTCACTAATCAAACTTCCAACAAGACTTTTTACAAAATATGAGAAGTTGATTATGAGATCTAGAAGAGAAAATATGAAAAAGCACTGCAAAATTTTTTAAGAATATTACGGGCAGCCCTTGTTTACCAAATTTCAAAACACACCATAAAGCTATAGTCATGGTAGTATCAAAGCCAGGAAAGAAGAAATAAATAAGAAAAAAATATACAGGTTATAGATAGGTTAGGTCAATGTTGAACAACATTCACACAACATACACTGAGTACCTATTATATGCCAGGCACTGGGCTAATGTGGTGAGGCAATAAAGATGAGGGCAGCCTATTCTTGCTTGTCAAGATGTCCAATATCTCCTACAACAGCTGTAATCATCTGGCTTGGGGAGGAAAGCAGGGGAGACTTTGGAAGAGAAAGTCTGTGAGCAGCTGCTTGCTAATCAAATAGCAACGTGTCATAGAAAGGGAATTCCAGAGAGGAGACAGCACATACAGTTATATAAAAACAGCAAGCTATTGAGTTTGAGGAGAGTAAGAGAAAAGATAGGCAAGGATCAGATGGTCACCTGGATGCCATACTTCATCCCACAAATAAAACAGCGTGACTGAAAGGTGTTAACGCAAGGAAAAGACATAATCAGAACTATATTTTAGAAAGGTTATGCAGATGACCAGCACAGAGAACTTGGAGAAGGGGTAAAAGACTGGAGACTAGTTAAGAGACTTTTGTAATAGATGGTAAAATCCTGATTAGGGGCATCTGGACAGAAATGAGGAGACTCAACAGAACATAGTAGCTGACTGGGTGAAGAGAAACAGAGGAACTGAGGCCTCCTCTAGATTTCTGCTAGGTGGATAGATGCACCATTTCTCCAAGGTTAAAGGAAAGAAAGGCAGCTTATGGTTGAAGAAGGTATAAATGTCAAGGTTCTTCTAAAGTTGATCCTACTATACTACAAGTTAAGTAACAGAACTTTTCACTCTAAAAAATAATTTTACTATAAATAATCAAGATAAAATATTTACCTGTTCTTCATTGACTTTTAATGCTTGTATTTGGGTCTCTAGTACTTTTATTTGTGCTTCAAGCTGCATCTCTCTCTCTTTTCCATTCTGGAAGAGTTTCTGTGATTCCCGGAGGCTGAGGGTCAAGCCATCCTTTTCATCTAACATTAAAAATGTTTAGATAAATAATGTTATTATAGAAGAAGCCCAATTGTCATAATTTCCATCATATATCATATCTATGTCACAAATAAATGTTGTTGCATTCAATTCAATTCAAATTATGAACTTCAGTTGATTTAGAGAAAACTAGAAAAGTTTCCAAAATGAATGCTTGAATGAGACCAAAAAAATTTTTAGTGAACCAGAACCACTTCATTCAAAAATCTTATCATATCCCTTTGGGGACCAAATAGATTTCCTAACAATGATTTCAGGATCTGTTTACTTGAGAAGAGATAGAGAGGTGACAAACCCCTGCTAATCAAAGAAGGAATCTGAGGACTAATTACTTTTTATACATACTTGCAACAAACATTTAAATTCACCTAATCTTAAATTTTTCCCACATACTTCACTGTAACAGCTTACAAGTTCTCTCAAAATAAATTTTATGAGCATTACAGAAGAGACCTTTTCACTACCAATTAACTTTGAAATGAGCTGAAGTTCAGTCAAAAAATCATTCTACAAATGAAAGCTCAACACTGACCAAATACAGAAAGCATGAAGAGTAAGCAATTATAATTTGAATCCATTTACTCCATGTGCTTCTCCCAGACACAGCTCCATTGTCTCCCTGGCACAACTAAAGGAGTTAAGGACCACTAAATCTTACTTGGATTAAACATTATACTAATTTGTAGATTCAGAAGGGGTACTGCAAACTAAGCGCAGACTCTCTGGGAACTGAATACATCATCCAAGGTAAACTACAGAAGGAATCAACATTTTAGGACAGAAGATTATCAGTACAGTTGAATAGTGTTCATTGACTCTAACAGCCTAATAAAAAGAAAAAGAAGGGAGAAAATGAGGACCTCAAACTAATTTTGGAGAGAAGGAATCAAAGCCAAGGGTCAAGAGTCCTAGGTTTTTTGTTTTGCTCTGACTGACTCACAATGACACCTCTACCAAGTGTATCAGTTCTCTAAGCTTCATATTTAAAATCAGGTTACTGGAAACAAGGAATCTTGTAGTGTACCTCATAAACGACAGAACTCAACAGTTATCTTACCTTTGGTCATCAGAAGCTGGTGATTCAGATATCTGATTTGACGTTCACTTTCTTTTAACTTTTCAACTAAATTATCTAGTTGTCTCTCTTTTGCTTTGTTAAGAACCTGAAGTTGAATAATCTGCATATTTTCAGCAGAATCTGCTTTGGAATTAAAGGTAATTTATTAGATAAAAGCATACCAAAATATGTGGTCATTTAGGACAGTGTTTCTCAAACTATGGATACAAGTCATTACAGTATCATAAAATCAATTCAATGACTTGTGACTAGCATTAAAAAAAAAACCAAGATAGAATATAATAGAATATATCACACTCCATCATGGGGTATGAATAAGTATAATTTTGTGAAACTTGTTTCAGTTATACAGACAAATATTATAGATGGCATCAAATGTAAATGTTTCTTACTGTGGTCACTGCCAGGTTATTGGTTTAGAATATAAGACTGAATGACCACCATTTTGGCTAATTAAAAATAAGTAAATACCAATTACAATGGATTACAGTTCTATACAGTAATAAAACTGAAAAAAAAGTACGCTTCTATAAAACCATTTTAAAAGAAAATTTTTAGACATACTTCTCAAAATATTTCATTTTGAGGAATGGGGATTCTACTCATATTTATGCTGAATTAATAAATTAATAATTAATAAAAAAATTTATTTTTTGTTTCTTTTTTAATTTTTTTATTGAAGTATCATTGATTTACAATCTTATATTGGTTTCAAATATACAATACAGTGCTCGAACAGTTATCCACACTATTAAAATCCTCACCCCCCTCTAGTGCAGTTACTGTCAACATAGAAAGTTGCTACAGAATCACTGACTAGATTCCCCATGCTGTACTACTGTCCCCATGACAAACTTATAGTATGATTGAGAATTTTTATGCCCCTTTATCCCCTTCATCCTCCCCACCCGCCCACCCAAACCCATTCCCCACAGTAACCACCAGTCACTTCTCAGTATCTATGAGTCTGCTGCTGTTTTGTTTCTTCTGCTTTGCTTTGTTTTTATATTCCATAAATAAGTGAAATCAGATGGTATTTGTCTTTCTCTGCCTGGCTTATTTCACTGAGCATAATACTCTATAGATCTTCTAGATACTTCTAGAATCTCTAGATCTCTCTAGATAACTCTAGAAACTTTTTAGTTTGATGTAGTCCCACTTGTTCATTTTTTGTTTCCCTTGCCTGAGATGTATCCAGGAAAAAACTGGCTCATACTTATGTTCAAGAGATTTTGCCTATGTTTTCTTCTAAGAGTTTTATGGTTTCATGTCTAACATTCACGACTTTGATCCATTTCGAGTTTACTTTTGTGTATGGGGTTAGACAGTTTCATTCTCTTGCATGTAATTGTCCAATTATCCAAACACCAGTTGTTGAAGAAGCTGTCTTTTCCCCATTGTATATTCAATGCCTCCTTATCACATATTAATTGGCCCATCACACATACATGGGTTTATATCTGGGATCTCTATTCTGTTCCATTAACCCATGGTTTTGTTCTTGTGCCAGTACCATACTGTTTTGATTACTGTAGTTTTGTAGTATAGCTTGAAATCAGGGAGTGTAATACCCCCAGCTTTGTTCTTCTCTCCCAGGATTGTTTTGGCTATTCAGGGTCTTTTGTGGTTGCATATGAAGTTTAGAACTATTTGTTCTAGTTCACTGAAAAATGCTGTCGGCATTTTGATAGGGATTGCATTGAATTTGTAAATTGGTTTAGGCAGAATGGTCACTTTGATAATATTAATTTTTCCTATCCATGAGTAAAAAATAGGTTTCCATTTATTTATGTCTTAATTTCTCTCATGAGTGTCATAGTTTTCAGAGCACAGGTCTTTCATTTCCTGGTTAGGTTTATTCCTAGGTATTTTATTCTTTTTGATGTACTTGTAAATGAATTGTTTTCCTGATTTCTATCTGAGCTAGTTTGTTGTTAGTATATAGGAATGTAACAGATTTCTGCATATTAATTTTTTATCCTGTAACTTTACTAAATCCACTTATCAGTTCTAAAATTTTTGGAGTCCCTAGGATTTTCTATGTATGTCATCTGCAAATAGCGACAGTTTAACTTCTTCTTTACCAATCTGGATGCCATTTATCTCTGTTATGTCTGATTGCCATGTCTAAGACCTCTAGTAGTATGTTGAGTAACATCTTTGTCTTGTTCTTAATCTTAGAGGAAAAGCTTTCAGCTTTTCTTGATTGACTATGATGTTAGCTGTGAGTATGTTGTATATGGGCTTTATTATGTTGAGGTACACACCCTCTATACCCATTTTGTTGAGAGTTATCAAGAATGGATGTTGAATTTTTCAAAAGCTTTTTTAGCATCTATTGAAATGATCTTGTGGTTTTTATCCTTTTCATTAATGTGGTGTATGATATTGATTTATAATATTGTACCATCCTTACATCCTGGAATAAAACCTCCTTGGTCATGATGGATGATCCCTTTGATGTATTTTTTAATTTCATTTTCAAATATTTTTAAAAATTATTTATTTACTTATTAAGGTGTCATTGATATACAATCTTATGAAGGTTTCACATGAGCAACACTGTGTTTACAACATTCACCCATATTATCAAGTCACCCCCCACACTCCATTGCAGTCACTATTCATCAGCATACCAAGATGCTATAGAGTCACTACTTGTCTTCTCTGTGCTACACTGCCTTCCCCATGACTCCCCTATATTGTGTGTTAATCATAATGCCCTTTAATCCCCTTCTCCCTCCCTCCCCCACCCACCCTCCCTAACCCTTTGCCTCTAGTCCCTTCTGGGAGTCTGGGAATCTGCTGCTGTTTTGTTCCTTCAGTTTTACTTTTGTTATACTCTGCAAATGAGGGAAATCATTTGGTACTTGTCTCTCTCTGCCTGGCTTATTTCACTGAGCATAATACCCTCTAGCTCCATCCATGTTGTTGTACATGGTAGGATTTGTTTTCTTCTTATGGCTGAATAATATTCCATTGTGTATATGTACCACATCTTCTTTATTCATTCATCTACTGATGGACACTTAGGTGCTTCCATATCTCGACTACTGTAAATAGCGCTGCAATAAACATAGGGGTGCATACTTATTTTTGAATCTGGGATCTTGTTTTCTTCTTTAGGTAAACTCCAAGGAGTGGAATTCCTGGGTCAAATGATATTTCTATTTTTAGTTTTTTGAGAAACCTCCATATTGCTTTCCACAATGGTTGAACTAATTTACATTCCCACCAGCAGTGTAGGAGGTTCCCTTTTCTCCATATCCTCACCAGCATTTGTTGTTCCTTGTCTTTTGGGTGGTGGCCATCCTAACTGGTGTGAGGTGATACCTCATTGTGGTTTTAATTTGCATTATCTCTGATAATTAGCAATGTGGAGCATCTTTTCATGTCTTCTTTGGAGAAATGTCTGTTCAGATTCTCCACCCATTTTTTGATCTGGTTATTTGCTCTTTGGGTGTTGAGACTTGTGAGTTCTTTATATATTTTGGATGTTAACCCCTTATCAGATATGTCATTTATAAATATATTCTCCCATACTGTAGGATGCCTTTTTGTTCTACTAATGGTGTCCTTTGCTGTACAGAAGCTTTCTAGTTTGATGTAGTCCCATTTGTTCATTTTTAATTTTGTTTCCCTTGCCCAAGATGTGTTCAGGAAAAAGTTGCTGATGTTTATATTCAAGAGATTTTTGTCTGCATTTTCTTCTAAGAGTTTTATGGTTTAATGACTTACATTCAGGTCTTTTATTCATGTCGAGTTTACTTTTGTGTAGTTAGACAATAATCCAGTTTCATTCTCTTACATGTAACTGTCCAGTTTTGCCAACATCAGTTATTGAAAAGGCTGACATTTCCCCATTGTATATCCATGGCTCCTTATTGTATATTAATTGACCATATATGCTTGGGTTTATATCTAGGCTTTCTATTCTGTTCCATTGATCTATGGGTCTGTTCTTGTGCCAGTACCAAATTATCTTGATTACGGTGGCTTTGTAGTAGAGCTTGAAGTTGGGGAGCATAATGCCCCCAGCTTTATTCTTCCTTCTTAGGATTCCTTTGGCTATTCGGGGTCTTCTGTGATTCCTATGAATTTTAGAACTATTTGTTCTAGTTTGTTGAAGAATGTTGTTGGTATTTTGATAGGGGTTGCATTGAATCTGTAGATTGCTTTAGGCAGGATGGCCATTTTGACAATAGTGACCTTCCTATCCATGAGCACGGGATGGATGTATTTCCATTTATTGGTGTCTTCTTTAATTTCTCTCATAAGTGTCTTGTAGTTTCCAGGGTATAAGTCTTTCACCTCCTTGGTTAGGCTTATTCTTAGGTATTTTATTCTTTTTGATGCAATTGTGAGTGGAATTGTTTTCCTGATTTCTCTTTCTGCTAGTTCATCGTTAGTATATAGGAATGCAACAGATTTTTGTGTATTGATTTTGTATCCTGCAACTTTGCTGAATTCAGTTATTAGTTCTAATAGTTTGGGGGTGGATTCTTTAGGTTTGTTAATGTAAAATATGTCATCTGCAAACAGTGATCATTTAACTTATTCCTTACAAATCTGGATGCCTTTTATTTCTTTGTGTGGTCTAATTGCTATGGCTAGGCCCTCCAGTACTATGTTGAATATAAGTGGGGAGAGTGGGCTTCCTTGTTTTGTTCCTTATCTTAGAACAACAGCTTTTAGCTTTTCACTGTTAAGTATGATGTTAGCTGTGGGTTTGTCATATATGGCCTTTATTATGTTAAAGTACTTGTCCTCTATACCGATTTTGTTAAGAGTTTTTATCATGAATGGATGTTTAATTTTTTTAAATGCTTTTTCAGCATCTATTGAGATGATCATGAGGTTTTTATCCTTCTTTTCATTAATCTGGTGTATGATATTGATTAATTTATTGATATTGTACAATTCTTACATACCTAGAATAAATTGCACTTGGTTGTGATGGATAATCCTTTTGACGTATTTTTTAATTCAGTCTGCTAATATTTTGTTGAGGATTTTTGCATCTATGATCACCAGGGATGTTGGTCTATAATTTTCTTTTTCGGTGGTATCTTTGTCTGGTTTTGGTATTACAGTGATGCTGGTCTCAGAATGTTTGAAAAGTATTCCCTCCCCTTCTACTTTTTGTAGTACTCTAAGAAAGATGGGTATTAGATCTTTTTTAAATGTTTGGTAGAATTCAGCTGTGAACACATCTATTCCTGGACTGTTTGTTGGGATTTTTTTGTTTTCCAATTCAATTTCATTACTAGTAATTGTTCTGTTCAGATTTTGTTTCTTCCTGGTCAGTCTTGGAAGGTTCTATTTTTCTAGGAAGTTGTCCATTTCTTATAGGTTGTCCAATTCATCAGAATATAATTTTTCATAGTATTATCTAATAATTCTTTGTATTTCTGTTCTGTGTTGTGACTATTCCTTCTTCATTTCTGATTCTATTTATTTGTGTACACTCTCCTTTTTTCTTAATAGTCTGGCTAGGGTTTTATCTATTTTGTTTATTTTCTCAAAGAACCAGCTCTTGGTTTCATTGATTTTTTTTTTCTATTCTTTTATTTTCTTTATTTTCTTTATTTCTGCTCTGATTTTTAATTATGTCCCTCCTTCTACTTACTTTGTGTTTCATTTGTTCTTTTTCTAGTTACTTTAATTGTAATTTTAGACTGTTTATTTGGGATTGTTCTTGTTTCTTGAGGTAGGCAATTAAAAAAGAATTTTGATGTCTTCTTACAGAAGTCATTTTAGGGACTACTTAAGAATAACTGGGGAAAAAAAAGAATAAAATGACTCATAGAACAATAATGTTTCAACTACATAATAACCAATATTCATTTTCTACTAGAGCAATATTTCCACTTGCTAACAAATAAGCATTCTTTTTAAACAGAGATATTGTTAAAACCAAAAAAAGAAAAAATAACTGAAGACTGAAAAGCTTGTTACAAGTCAAACACCTAAACAGTCTACAAGCCACAGTTCTATTCAAACTCATTTTTTTAAACTCCTGTTGCTAAGAAACTATAATCACTAAATTTGGCACTGCTGTTAAGTTATTTAATTAACTCCCAAATGTCAAATTTAGACAAATGTATAACTTAAACAAAAAATAAATCAATTTGATAAAATGCAGATTGTTACAAAAATGATGAAAGGTTATATATACAGAAAGACCAGGAGATATAAACATAACTGAACACAGCATAACTGAAACAGTAAACACCAGGATCTCAGGCCACTGTTGTGCTACTTATTTACTCAACCTAAAACCAGTTATGCCACACACACTGTCCACTTCCTCATCTCTTCATTCTACAAACACTCCTGAACAAAGAGGGTCCACTCCATATTTGCTGCTGACTCCTTCTGAGGAAAGTGAGTCCTGGCCTCCTCCTGTAATTATCCTGTAGCTATCCTGTGATGGGAGCAGCCCTACAAGGTTGGTGCACAGAGTTCAGTTTGCTCTTTGGTATAGACCTGGAAACCCAGAATATCCAATACAACTTTCCCCTCTTCTTAAATGTAAAACAAAAAATTTGCTGTCAAACTCTAGAATCACACTGGCTCATAAACATGCACAACTATTAGAAGTTATCTCAAATATCATAGAGTATGACAAGAGAATGGAAGTGGACATATGCAAACTCTAATTCAGGTTAATCAGAATACAAGTTTTAGTTTTTAGTTTTGGATGTTTCATCTCCTCAAAATCTCCAGTAGCCCTTTTCTCATTCTTATACTTTATATATATACTATACAAAAGGAATTTTTTTGGCATGTGCCACACGACTACACCTGAAATAAAAGGCTCGTTCAAATTCTGAATGTAAAGTAATTTACATCAGAATTGCCTAATTATTACACTAAAACTCTAAAAATCAAAAGAAAACATTAAAGTGCAAATGGCTGCTATACTAAATTACATTTCTATGTAATGAAAAATCTACCATTGAAAGGAAAACTCCATTTCCAAATTAGACTTCAGTAAGAAAAACATGAAGCCAGTAAAAAGTCTTAACCAACTAGAATGACTGAAATAAACAGTTGAGAAAAATTTAATTTTTTATTATGGAAAATTTCAAATACATAAGAAGGTAGAGAGAAGAGCACAGTGAATCCCTTGAACTATCACCCAGATTCAACAATTATGAACTCATGGACAGGCTGTTTTATCTGTAATTTACCCAAAACTACCCCCTAACAACATATTATTTGAAGTTAAGTACCAGACTTCATAACACTTTAATCATAAATACTTCAGGATTTAACTCTAAAAATAAGGGTTCTTTAAAAAACAAAACAAAACACAATTTCATCATCATACTTAAAAAAAGTAGTAATTTTTGAACATGGTCTAAATGTTCAAAATTCTCCAGTTATGTTAGTAAGAAAAAAATCCAAACTTGATACATACTTTCATTAGCTCCTAAAAATTGTTGTTGCAGGCCTTCAAAAGTGTCACTTCCTGCTACCTCCTGGGCTGGTAAGACATTATTCTGGGCTGAAGACTGGTAAGGTTTATATGTCACTTTATATGGTTCCAAAGCTTGACAACTGGGACCTTGTGATGTACCAAATTGCTATTATAAGATGATAAATGAAATTGACAATTAGAATTTGGTCTGTTCTTGAAAAATTATCTGGATTAGACATCTTAATTTGTTATAGAACTTTACTGTGATACAATTATATACATCTGCTTGAAAACCAACACTTATTGTTGTTTAATACTGGTAATTGAAAGTTTGCAATATACAAGTGCATGCATCATAATTGTTCTTTTGAGCACGTAATTCCACAGTAACATTCAAGAATTCCAATAAGATAGTATATAAGTATTTAAGAATGATTTAGATGACTCTAATATCTTAGAAACATAAAAATGTACATTAATAATAAGAACATGCAATACAAGGCCTCATATGTAACAAATATTTAATGACTTCCGTGGAATGAATAACATTCTATAGAGCTATAAGTGAGAGAAAATGATCACCTTAAAAGAACCAAAAAAATTGTCCCATCATTGGGTTACACAGAATAGCTGTTGGCAAAATAAGGCATTCATTGTCACTGAGAAAATCTAAAAAACAGCTAAGTGTATTCTAAGATTTTGTTTCATTAAACATTCCCAGGGTTTAAAAAAAAAGGTATTCTTTTCTTTACCATTCATCCTGTCTACTGCTATATCATCCCAAAACAGGTATCAGTTTTAAAGTGCTTAACTTAGCATTTGTTATAAGGGTGGTGAGCTAGAAAATCAAAGCAACTAACTGGTGTCATCAACATAGATTTACCATTTAAAACTGTATCAAGATAACTGAACATAGCTTCTCACTGAAGCACAGTGAAATGGTAGAAGCCAGAAGCAGCAGTAAATGAGGGTAGTTATTCTTCAACAGATGTAACTTTAAATGTTTAATTTATGTTTCCATGAAGCCTCTATTTTAAAACTCTGATTTAAGATCATGATTTCATGAGTGAACAGAAAACAGCAGCACTAATTTAACATGAGCCTGAATAAAAGCACTGTCAGAAATTTCTGCTCTTAAATTATACTATTGCATGTAAATAAATTTTACATAAATACAAGCAAAACTGTGTACACACATACACAAATACTTGAAAGACAAGTTCTTACAATACCTGAAAATGATTCCTGTGAGGATCTGAAAATTTAATTACATTGGTTGGTTGGCTATTAAAGTCCTGCTTCTGACCATTGCTGTATGGCCTAAAGTTTTCAGGAAGGTGATATAAATCTGTCTGTTCATATTTGCTTGGAGGACTATAACCACTTCCACCTTCATCTCCGCCTTCTTCAGGATGGCACCCAGGATGCTGGTCTTCATTTTTACTTTGATTGTCTTCCCAATCATTGCCACTTTTCTCTCCAACATATATGTCCCGAATCTTACGATAGTCCTATTAGATAACAAGAGTAAAACAAAAGCACTAAGATCTATTCCCACCCTCATTAAAATCATTATCACATCAGATACTTACATTTACAGTTTGAGATTTAGGCAGCACTTGATGCTCATTCCACTTCACCTCCGATTGCTCAGAACAATGTGGTCTTGAGAAAAATCAATACTTTAGATTTACAGCCTATCATTTAGTTGGACACAAATATCACAAATATCTTAACATTTTTTCCCACCAAACTTTACCTAAAAGCTTAAGACTTAAGACTACAATTTTCTAACCACATACATTGTTTTTACCTGCGGAGAATGAAAGGAAAGAGGCTGAAAGAACTGTAATACACAAATGAAAGTGATTTCAGATCCTTACTCTCCGTCAGTGCCATCCTCACTGCAGTCCAAAGAGTGGAGCTCGGGCGAGGACAGGTCATCGTCCAGCATATCGTGAGGAAGGTCTGTGAGCAGCTGCTGCAACTGAGACAGAAGGTCAGCATCAATATCACACCGACTGAAACACAGCACGCCAAACGAAAGCTGCCTTGGAACAAGTGATTTTGACTGTAGAAGTCAAAAGAAGGTCCTAAATCCTCCGTTTAATAAATGTCTTACATTCCACATGAATTATGTTCATCATTTCACTTGGGCGAAGGGGAATACATAATATTAGGTTTTATATTAAAATTACATGAAAAGGCTTTTTTTATGTTACATGAAAACGCTTTTTCTCTATAAAGCTCTCAGATTTAAATACACATACCTTACAACAGAATTTAAAAACTTCTTTATGGAAACATAGCAAGTCATAATAATGGCACAATCACAGTATTGTGTTATCACAGGGTGGACTTGAGTCTCAGAATCCTGTTCTACCAGTAATCAGACATTCCCCAGGGAACCTGAGAAGCCATCTGCTCTTTGCCCAGGTGGTGAGAATAGCAGCAACAGGTGGCCTACAAGCCCTTAAAAGCTCTAATAATGTGATAGAAACCTCTGGGGGAGTAACTAATTAGTACACAGCCATCTAATTCCAATGATGAAAAGATATACAATACTCAGCTCTCATGAAACAGATGAGTAAAAAGAGAGCTGTGAGATTGTTTTCTACAGATAGCATTCTCAAAGCATAACTCTAAAACTGACATAAAAACATTTGACTTTGCTAATTTTTTCCTAGAAAAATCACATCCTTAGCATTTTGCCTATAAAAGCAGACAGAATAAATTCTTCCTATAAAAACAGAATAAAGTTATTCAAGTGTCAAACTGTGATAAAGAGATGATTTGTCTAATCTGTTGAATTTCAATGTCAATCTGTAAATGTCTTTCTTCAAATCCCAGTATAATGTCTTAAAATTTGGTAACAATCAAAGATCCAAATATTATGTTATTAAATAAGTAGGGAATTCCTTTGAAAATTAAGTACCAGTTATGTACTTAAAGGAAGTAATGACTTCCTTTGAAAATTAAGCACCAGTTAAATTAACAAGGTGACTGAGTCCCTGCATAGTGCTTAAATCAATCCCATAACATTCTGCAGTGAGTGAATCTCAAAGATATTAAATGCCCTGTAAAACTTTAGGGGGAAAAAAATGAGATGCTTCTGAAGTCTATGGCAGGTGTTCTTTTTTCCAACTTTCTCTGTCTTAACAGTAAAAGAAATGAAATGTAGATACAAAACATATGAATTATATTTATGAACAAAAAACTGTCTTAAAAATATATATGGTTAAAGTTAAATAATCATATTCTAAGAAAGGTCTGAAAGGAATGGTCCAATCGTTAACTGAGTTTTGGTGAAGTTAAATTTGGGAATGTAAATGGGGTATGTGAGATGGGGAAAGGGGATACTTCCTTACTCCTATATATATTTCTAATATTCATTGGATTTTTTTTAAAAGCTTTTCTCAATCCATTTGGTTCTTTAAAAATGAAACAAGAGAAACATATTTTATTCCAATGAAAAGTTACCTTCATCTCAAAGTTTATTTGATACTAATATTAACAACAAAGATTGATTTATTGGCCACCATGCAGGCTAACTGAAAAATCAGTTTGTGAATTAGCCATATCAGATTTGACCTCAAGATATAAAGAATAAGAAACAACATCAAAAACAAAACAACACATTGTCATTAGTATGCTACATGCACGCCTCAGGTGAAAGGTAGCAGAGTGATTTGACAGACACAGAACTCAGAAAAAAAAACCACCTCTGAGGTCTTTCATAAGTAGTCCAAACTGTTGTCAATAATTAGGTACCAGTGCTTTAAGGAAAAAGACTCCCCCATTTATATGGGGAAAAACAACAAAATAAATCTTTTATACTTACATTAAGTAAGGACTCCTGTACAGAAAGAATATTTTCTTCTAAACCTTCAGAGAGGTTCAAATACATAGCCTTATAATTCAGGGGCACTTGGACATGGACACCTGAACAGTACATGTTCCCCACACACAAAGATCGGAAAAACTACATAATAATTAAGCAGTTCTCACAGATTCCCTTGCGATACTACAAAATGAACAAAACTGGCATCGACGAAGGAAAACTAACTTGAGTTTATAAGCATTAAGCTCATCAAAATGCTTCTGGATTCAGAGGTAAACTTATCAACTAGCAAACTCATCCCTATAGTTGTTAGTGCCTTATAAAACATCTTACACGTATGCTAACACTTTTAAATTGCTTCATTCACCTTCAAAAATTTCTCCATCAAGTTCTTGGGCATTAGCTGAGCCATACCCTTCGGCTGCCATAACTTTCAGGACAAGGAAATGAAATGAGGTGAGTCCCCCTATCAAGGCCTTTCAGCAACAAAATCTCACCTTTGAGGCTCCCATTTCCCAAAATGAAAGCGTGCACTCCTCAAATACACAGACTGTCAAACAGATTTTGCTTTTGGTCACTGCAACTTACACCATAACACACAGATTGGCCATATCAACGTATGCATGTTACCAAAGAGAGAATTTTACAAACTATAGATTTTCCTTATTAAATATCCACCCAAATACCAAATACAGTTTCAACAACCCTTTCCAATGACAAGACTTAATTCTGCTCATTACTAGCAAATTCAGCAGACTGCTTTTTGGTGGCAAATGCCATCTTCTCAGTGAGATATCACTCTGTATCTACTGAGTTTAATAATTAAAGAGATTCCTTCCTTAGAAAAAAAGGTAATTTGCTATTGTTAAGGCTTCTACTGAAACACAATCTAAACCATTCTATAAACTCCTGCCCCTTTACTACTTCACGTTTCTTCCCTAAAGAGAAAAAAATGAGGGCACTTCACGCAAAAAAACTTCAGCAACAAAACACTTTACAATATAAAAACCTGTGTACAACATCTAAAAAGCCTATGTTAGGAGGACCGTAAAACAGAACACGTAAACCTTTTGTTAGGGTTTTTGACTTAAATTAACTAAACAGACTGTCTTCAGAGACTATAATCCTCAACATTCATGAGAGCAAGAGTTTCAGATTACAAACTGTACATCTCTCCCAAGAGAAAAGCAGCAAATGGGGTAGGCAACATCCGTCTGGCTTGGCAGCACGTTACCTCAAAAGTACACTGAAAAGAGTCTGATATTTTAAAATATGAATTGTTAAACAATCCTTCCACGGATACACACGAAGCAGAACCTTCATTTTAACCTAAGAGCCAAGACGCAGCATGGGCTGATAAAGAGCTAAAAAACCTGGCTGCTCCAGCTTTAGTTTATGAATTACTATGTGCAGAATTATTTTTAAAAATCTATTCCATTAGTTAAACTAAATTTTACAGTGTTAGTGGGGAAACTTGTCTAAATTCCCACATATCTTAAAAAGATACGTGGCGACATTTATTAAAGACAAATATCAGCTGCACTACAGATGCCGTACAGAATGTTATCCGGAAAAGAACATAGGAGCTCTCCAAGACAAACCTTCCGCCTAAAAGTGAGCAAACCAAGGCCCAGAGGAGGTCAGGGGCAGGCCCAAAAGAAGCGGTTGCAGTTCCAGAGCCAGTATCAGAACCGGCGTCTCTCCACTCCCACTCCTGGTTTTCCTATGTGACACTGAGTCGGTCACTGCAAGACACTAATTTCTATTTGTATACCGTCAAGCTTCAGTTGGCCAAAGTTCAATGCTTTTGTTCCCATTATGACAATCCCTGAAAAATACCTGTATATTATGGGAAACATTCAAAGGCACAATCTAGATAAAGTATAAGAAAGTACTGAAGAGAAACATCAGAAAAAATATATGAAAATATAAAGCTCAACCATGTTTCTTTGATTTTCTTGAGTGATGACAAGAAAATTCCAAGTCACACAATATAAAACGTAAACAAATAGTAGCTTTACAACTCCCTCTAGTGGGGACAAAATATCAAGATGTTTCCACGATGACATCAAACAAGGCAGTTAAAAAGTGGAAAAAAGGCTATGTATGCAACGGAAACTTTACATCTAAAATACACGATTCCAAGCTCAGCTCAGCTTTATTACTCTGTTAGAGAAGTACCAATCCAAAAACCAAGAGCAGTTCAAACCAGCACTGCCAGGTGCAGCTTTCCTCTGCCATCTGCTGCTTAAACCACCTACCTTTCTACTCAAGATCATTTTCCAGGTTTCAAATATATCATCACTAACTGAACCATACCAGCAAGTATTATCTTGACATCAAAGATAACTAAGTAGTTCTGCCTCAAACCACCAGCTCCAAAACACATATGTACACACAAGTTTAATATCTAAAACCAAACGATCATCACAGAGCTACTCCTGGTGACATTGCAGAAAGTACATGCATACCCAGCAAACCAAGATACCCATAACTTTGAAGCTTTTAACATCCATTCCTGTCCCAATAATTACAACTATGTCTCTGTAATATCCGACGATGAAATCATAAAGTATAATGATTTTAGGTGAGAAATATTCTATGAAATCACATTGTTACATTATGACTGAGTTAATAAAAGAACTTTTGAATTCCCCTTCTCTGGGCCAGCCTGACAAGTGAAAGTTTGCCTAGAATACTCTGGATGAGGCCTACTTAGTAGTAAGAAGGACAACTACATCAGTAGTTCTCAGGTGATACAGCAAGAGAATAATTTGCTCCAGTAAGTTATGAATATAAATGACTTGAATATTAACTGACATGACACCAAATGTCCGTGGTATCATTACCTTTACTTACCTGCACCCCAATCTGCTCTGTTGATTGTGCAGGAAACAGAGTTTCAGGTGAAAATCTGGATGAGGCTGTGGGTTATGATGCACTTCTCTGCTATGCCTTGGCCCACAGGGGCCAAATTTTACTAACATAACATTTAGAATTAATGATTCTACTGCTTTACTTTTCTATGAATTTCTTGGAAGTTTTATTCAAAATATGGGTCTATTCATGGAAGTCTGTTTTGAGATACCACTGGGCTAAATATCCTCTGAATATTGAATCACTTTACCACATCCTTTCCTCCTCTGAAGATTAAAACACTTTCTCCATTTGCTCTTCAATGTAAACAATGGAGGGAATAGAAATGGAAAAGACAAGATCATAATTGTAGAGCTGTTAATTAGGATGCCATGCTGGTTGAAATTTGGCTTATTCGCTGACTGATGGGCAAGTGTGGATGTTATCCCAACTGACCCCAAAGCACCAAAATTAAACTCAGTTGTATTTAAAAGCATGTTGTATTAGCACCTGGCCATTCACACCAGGTCAAAATCAGGACTATTTGCCATTTACAGAGAGAGGATCTCACAAACCCTTAGCAGGGAAGGCTATGAGTCAGATATGCCCTGCCTAGCCAGCCCTCCTGCACATCCTGGGGAATACAGGCATTCCTCCTACTTAAATGAATTGAATACCAAGTGATCCAGTAAGTAAAGAAGCAATATGCATTGGCCAGCTGCTAACTTCTAACCCAGCCACCACTCCCCAAGCTACCAATAAGGCAGGCAGGAAAAGACTATTCTCTTCTTTAACCTCTTAAGGCTGTGGCTGTTCTGCTATTACAGGATTACGGGGACTGAGGAGGTTGAAAAGGCTTCTAGCTATGCAAACAAACTTAGTTTTACTCCACCTACTTATTTTAATTTGCAGTGATGAAATATACATACACCTTTTATAAACAATCCTGAATTTTGTTGCTGAAAATCGGAAACCCTCTAGCCTCCCACCTCACTTCTTCCCTTACAGCAATTTAAAAAAAGCAGAAAGACTTTTTATTAACATGAATCATAATCACCATATTAGATAGTTATTATTCTTTTCTTTCATCTGCTAGAAACACTCATTCCTAGATACTGTACCTCTTAGAAGCTCCTTTTCCTCTGGGAATTCCCTACCCCAGCATATTATCAAGTGATCCCAATGGCTATTTTCTGTATTTTCCAGAATGAACTGCCTTTTTACCTACTATGCCCTATGAAACTTACACCACACAATACCCTCAGCAGTAAGTTCTCTGTAGTACCTTACCTCCCTCTCTAATATCTTTCATAATGAAAAATCACCTGTCATATTATTTTTTCTTCTTCTTTAAAGTCTACTCTAGTAATTACTTAAACTGATCCTCTCCAGAATCCCAGTAGCTAAATTCCAGTGAGCTATCTAAAGCATTCAGGGTCATGAAAACCCCATGCCGTGAGTTCACAGAGAAACAGAAAATCCTCATCTCCATCCTTTCCATAGTTGTCATGAAGGACTCTGTCAGAACCTGGAAACCCTGGCCAGGGTCACAAACTCCAGTGCTCTCAGAGGTCTGGCAGAGAACTTACGAGAGAGGAGCTGGCAGGTCCAAGTGCCCAAGTCCATGTCGTATGACAGGTGGGGGCGGGGGTCAGCTGGGATGGAGAGGCAGTGCTTGGCTCCAGCCTGCCTGCTGCCATGTGCAGACATAGGCAGCACGTGGCCAGGGCTCAGGACATTTTAAGACAAGCCAGAAACTCTGTATTGTTACATGAAATTTTCCAATCTTTAAATACAATCTTTAAATAAATTGAATACAGGTTCAATTTTTTAAAAACACGGTGCAACCCAACAATTACATGTCTATGGGCAAAATCCACCACACTGCCAGTGTTCTGGCAGCCACACTAACTCTGCCTAACTCTACTGCCAGCCACACAGGCAACTGACCCTATTTCTTCCTTCCTGTTAATGTTGATGGTTCCCAGTAGCTATTAGAAAGGATTATTTTACACATTAGAAAATAGGTCATATCGAGCATAGCCTCTGTAAAAAAGAAGCCTGCTATAGTCAGTCAAAAATTTGACTCAGACTTAAAGGCAGTCATAACAAGGAAACTGACTTCCCCCAAATGCTACTATTACTCCTGCCACCATTTACTTAACAGTTACTTTTGTGACATGAATTCTGTTAAACACTTTATACACTTTAAATATATGTGTACATATATATATATATATACATAAATATGCAACTTATATACAAATAATATGATCTCCTCCTCTTACTCCTTTCCTCCTTTAGTCTATTCACCACACAGCAATTAGAAAGATCTTTCAAAAATGTGATCAGATATTGCTTCCCTGCTTAAAATCCTCCCCTGGCTTCCCACTGCTTCTAGAACAATATACAAACAACTTACCATGACATACGATGATCTGGCTCAGTCACCTCTTCACCTCATCTCTACTGTTCACCTTTTGCTCACAAATCCCAACACCTCAGCCTTCTGGCTACTCTACAGATATACAGGGTCTCTTCCAGGCTTCCAAGCTTTACATTCATTGGTGTCTTGGCCTAGAATATGCTTCCTTAGACTTCTATATGGCTGCTCCTTCTCATGAGTCAAGTCTCAGTTCAAACATTTCCTCTTTCAAGAGACCTTTACCCATCAGTTCCCTAGCAGTTACTTTAATATCACCCTTTTTAGTTTCCCTATCATTTATCAATGATTAATTATTTTATTCACCTCAGATTGTATTTTATTCATCTGTTTACTTGTTTACTTACTGCATCTACTACTATGTACACTGCCTGCAGCAAGGAATCTTGCTGGACTTGTTCAAAGCAAGACTCTAAAT